AGATCATCAATTTCACGCCTTGCACGTAGGCAAGCTCTTTAATTGTCATTTAGATTTAAAGAATTTTCAATGTTAAATACAAATGCGTACAAATGCAATATTATCACCTCACTTGTGAAAAATAATAACTAATATAATAATAATTTCGGTTTGCTTTATATAGCCAGGTTTGTCTATCTTATGAATTGAGATAGTGAAACACTATTGAACCACAGCAAAGGAAAACATAAGTAGCTAGAAATGAGGTAGTAAAATAATCCTAGCAGAAACAGAAGGGATATGAATATTATTCTTGTACTGTGAAAAAGTTTTAACACTTGACAGCAGTGACTCATTAATCCTAATTATTATCCCAACATACAGTACAGTGTCATGTTGCCAGGGTCAATATGCACATCATTGTCATTTGGGCTGGCAGTGTTGTGCCTGAAATCGTCTCTTGACTTGTTAGTTTTACTGATTTTTGAAGAAGGTGTTGTGGCTGAGCTTTGTAAATCAAGCCCTTGTGAGAATTTCTAGAAATCTGTTGTTTTTTTTTTCAGTTTCAACCCGAAAAAAATAAAAAGGGAAAAATCCAATAACTCCGCCAACAATGGAAGAAGAAACAATAAAAAAAAACCAAAAAGAAGAAGGAATCAGAATTTTTTTTTGGCATCATCCAAGTTTTAAACAATTTTAATCACTGCAGAGAACTTATCTGACGTGAAATTTTCTTCAAAAATAACTTACACACTGGTACTAGTGGAAACCAACATACACTCCAACTCCAGCATCTGTTCCAAGGATACCATAAGCCTCACTAAGGGATAAGGATGTCGAAAAACAAATTAACAGCAGCTTACTGTAGCTGTCCTGAAGATACCTGGAGATAATGTTTTTAGTTAACTCTGATTTGTTTTTCATTCAGTCCTAATAAAATACTCTTGCAGGCAATTACATCATTATACTATAATTATTTAGTGGTATTTATGTAATGATGCAGTAATGTGATGACATAAATTGTGCACTGTAATTTGACAATTTTAAACGTTACTTAGTGTCTCTGGTTCAGACACAAATGTGGAGTGATCCACACTGCCTTGTTTCCTGTCCAATCTGATTTGTAAGGAAACTTATCAATTGTTTCAGTCCCTGCGATGGGGAAAAAAACAAAACAGAAAACAAATCAAAAGACAAAAACAAACATCTGGGGTCTTAATTTAGTAGGGGAACCCAACCCAAAACCTGCCATGCGTGTCAAAGCACCTGCATTAGCCAATGTGTGTCTCTATTGCATCATAACAACTACTGCCAAAAACAGTCTGGTTAATGCCACTTTTGGTCTGCATACAAAACGGCCTCCGATATTTTTGGTAGTTAAAACATCAACAGTTTGTTTACATTCTCCACTTTAGGTGTTGATTGTTCAGGGGATCTGACAAGACATGCCATTCAAGATACCAGAAATAATGTACCAGGACAGAACTTACCCTTCAGGATGGGTGACATTGGTACAGTATTTGCAGTATCATTAAATTGCATATTCCAGTCTGAATGGAATGCAATGTGCATATACTGTACAAGTAATCTGAGCCTCTTCTGAAAGATGAAATCTGTTACTTTGCTTGCATCAACTGCTTAACAAAATGTTTCCCATTTCTTTCAGAAGATTTTTCATGATCTTTCAGAAAGTATTTGAAAGTTGCCATTGTGTGTGATCGAATGCGACTTTGTGTACATGTTGTCAGTGAGAAATGCTACATTTACATGTATACATTTCAGTATGCCTTAGATGGCTGAGACTGTCAGGTACAGTACATTTTGTCATCTTATTTCTCTTTAGTTGACTTGCAGGTGTTGGCATTGCTGATTAGGTACGGCACAGGGGGAAATGGAAAGGTTTGGTGCCAGCAGTTATCTTCCCCAGACAGAATGCCAAAAAACAAACAAAAAAAGCTGTTATGTGGTTATTTCCCCAAATAAATTCCAGGATCTGACATCTATGTTTGCTTTGTTAGACATTGATTATATTTCCCTTTAAAGACTTTAAGCTAAAGTGAAAAGGGGAGTTATTTTCTATATTTAAATACTGTATTGTTAGGGAATCGATATACCAATATAATATGTGGAAATATATACCAAAGTTTCTTTCACTGAACTTTCTTTAATTTAAGGGAGGTCCCAAGTTTATTTAAGCAGAACTTTAGGATATGTTTTTAGGAGAAAAACAAATTCTGTATAGGACTATTGACTTTTGATCCTGCTCATAACAAGTCAGAGTGCACTTCCTCTTGTGAAGGAGGTAGAGCATCAAAATGTATTGCTTTAAATTTTTCCATTTTGCACAAGCCAGTTTGGAAAAGGGGATTTCCAGACCTTTTTCGGTAGTCGTTTTCTGTCATCAGTCAAACATAACCGATTACTATGAGCGCAGGGTGTGTACTGAAGGGTTTTTTGACACTCTGGGCTCTTCTATAGATGCTTCGATGAGACATCTTGCTTTTTATCCTTTGTTGAAAAATGGTGTTTATTCTAGACAGGTGGTGCTTGTAACACAAGAGGTGATCTAGACTATTTTATACAACTTTCACGGTGTAAAAATAACATTGCACTATTAAGAGCTGCTGGCAGCAGACTCATTCATGCATATCTGCCATTTGCACCTTCTGCGCATACCCAGCGTGTATCCCTGGAGCTTCTTTTTAGTGCACCTGGGCATTGACAAAGTGTGAGATGCTTTGCTCACTCTATGGGCCTGCCAGACCATTAAAATCATTTAGCCCGAAGTCCTTGCCATTTATCAGTCTGGCAGAAAATGACATCGAAATCAACCTGCTTCACTGCCCAAGGTGCTCTTTCAAAAGAAAATAGAAGCAAAACACACTCTCTGCTAGCTCCTGCTGCATTTTATACCCTCAGAACATGTCGTTTTCTCATGCTGTACTCGTCTGATGTGAAAGATTATGCAGTGCTCTGGCAGATTGCTGAATGTGCTAGCCTAATGTGATTTGGAACAAATGCACATAATGGCACTGTCATTGTGAAATTACTGTTTCTGAAATGTACTTCACATAAACAATGATTCATTTGAAATTATTGCGATACAAAAGGCACCTGTACAAAAGACCATTCAAAGAAATAAAACAAGGTTTTTGTAGACATTATAAATTTACATTTATAATGATGTTTTATGATATGACGTATTATATGGTGTTGTTTTACTGAGCATAAATGATATAATCTGAAAGTAATTGGTAGTTTCTTAGTTATAATATTTTTGCATTTGCATGGCATACTGTATAGGAGGAGACCCACGTCACCCCTCACTGAAGTGCAGTTCTCACATGGGTGATATGCAGCAGACGTTTAGCACCAGCAATCCCACTACACAGCTCAGATCATAAATCGGAAGAAGTGAGAAATTACTTAACCAATCGAATTAAGGAGGAAATTCAAGTAGAGCCAATTGTGCTAACCCAAAATGGAATTTAGCCATATTTTCTATTAGTACAATGTTTTTCAAGTATTGTGAATTATGATGTCACCCGCTCTTTAAGAATGTTATGTAGAGTTATATGTACTGTATATAGTGTATTTTTTATACTGCTGAATTTTATTTTTTTCATGTTAAACAGATTTGATAAAAAAGCAAATCCTGTTCGGAGCCAAAAATTATTGTCCCTTATCATCCACTGCTCTGCAACCGTTTTAGGGGTTTGTACAAATTGATTTGTTACCAGAGGGGTTTTACTGAAAGTGAGCGTGGCAAGTGGGAGCTTGCAGTAAGTAATGTGTCAGCGTTACTTATGTTTTACGATTACGTAAAGGAAATACACCACAAGCCCATCACTGTGTGCAACCCTGGGCATGTCATCTTTCTTTGTTCCATCTAGCTGCAAGAAAAAAAAATTATACACTTCAGGAAGTCTTATTTATTACTGCTGAAATAATCCGGTGTTAAAGGTTGTTTGGTATTCCTACACATGAGCCTGCTTTAGACTTATGGTACCATGCTTGAGTTGGTGGGAGGAGGTAGCCAGACAGGCACCACAGCCGACAGAATCCAAAGGTTTTACCTCATATGCTATTTCTATAAATTTGTGTGTCAGGTCAGAATCTTCTAACGGGAAACCTCACCTCGCACTGTTTTTGGCAACCGGGGTTTAACTGCATGGGCTTCGTTTCACTGTGGTGGGCCCTGGCGTAGCCACCCCTCCCTTTGATCTTTGTGCTGATTGAACTACATGCAGTCCCTGCAGGTGTGTTTGCCACAACTGGTTCAGTTGTTATCAAGGAAATGCAAAGCTGTTGTTGTCGCTTGTGCTTGGACTGCACTGGCTCAGTTGTAATCAAACCGGTATTTACGTCAAACAGGAGGGTTTCAGAGACACCTGCAGAAACTATTCCCTCACTTCCTGTTCGTGCCTGTAAAGCAAATCTTTATTTTTGTGAGCCGAGTAAAAAGCATGCGAGAGACAATAATAAATAATTATTTCTCACCTCGGCAGTTGCTCTGAAAATACTCAACTGGGGTTCTGCTTCAGTATACATAATTTCTAGCTTGCCAAAAAAGCGTCTTCTGTATGACACTAATGTTACACAAAACCTTGTTTTTTCCTTAACACACTTCCCGTTTAAAGCTGATAAAGGAGTAAAAGTTTGGTTTAAAAATATTTTACTTCATTTTCTTAACCCCTGTCTGTCGTCTTAAATTCGCATGTTGTTTGTCCAGAATATTAAGCCTCTTGTTAAACTAGCATGATTAGAGGAGCCAGTAAAAAGATAGTGTTCATGGACATTTGGTGAGAAACACAAATGTCAAAGATATTGTTTCCAGATGGAATCATTGTAGTTTCTATGGAAACTTTGACTTAACACCTTGTTTAAATATACTTCTCCCAACAGATTATTCAGATGTTATTTTCTGAATATGAAGGTTTTTCCATTATTTTACTGGTGCTACCATGTGCTTCAGTCATGAGTCTCATTTCTTGCTTTGCCTCGGTCTCCTTGGTTTCCAGGCCTGGAAAAAGCGATGGTTTATCCTGCGCAGTGGGAGGATGAGTGGAGACCCAGATGTGCTGGAGTACTACAAGAACGATCACTCCAAGAAGCCAATTCGGGTCATTGATCTGCATTGCTGTGAGCAGGTGGACGCCGGGCTGACATTCAACAGGAAGGATTTCCAGGACAGCTTTGTCTTTGACATCAAGACCTCCGATCGCACCTTCTACCTGGTGGCGGAAACAGAGGATGACATGAACAAGTGGGTGCGTTGCATCTGCCAGATCTGCGGGTTCAACCAGTCCGAGGAAAACAATGGTAACAGCTGTTCGTCCACAGAATCGTCTGCCTCTCTGAAGGCTGTCTTTCAAACCCTTCTATCAATCCCCCTGCCTTGCAGGTGCCGGTGTCCAAACAGTGTAGTGTTTTTTTCTTACACCGCTTGGAAAACGTTTTTTTATCAAATTAAAACCAAATTTGAATGATCTGAACTGGGTGTTTTGTCCGATTATATTTTTAATTCTTTTAGCGAGTCTTCTAAGTCTTATAGAAAAATATTTTAGTACATAAAATACTAGACAGGTTTTGTCAGAGAACCATCCTACTGCTGTGTAATAGTGGTGGTTTTGGAAAGTGTTTATCAGAAGAAATAGTGGCTTTGAAACATGAGATCGTTTCAGGAGACTTTTTTTATTTCGATATGAAAGTAAAAAAAGAATCATGCCTGCCAAATGGAAGCAGCGTCTAATAGGGTTATTGATTTTTTTTTTGTTTCTTTCTTTTGTTTTGTTAAAGAAAGAGCTGAAATCTCCCCGTCATTTCCAGCACAGATGCAATGCCTGTGTTTCAGAGGGACCTTTTTGTAACTGGCTGGCACTTTAAAAATACAAAGGGCACTTTATTTCCCAGAATCATGATCATGCCTATTTTTAGAGTACACTTAAATGTATTTCAAAGAAGAAACAAATAATGTTCCTCTCCAGATTACAGTAAGGTTTTGAAGGTAAACAATTTTTTATGCCTTTCTGTTGATGATGACAGTGTGTGAGGTTAACCTCTTCCACAATTGACTTTGAAGCCATTTGTATGGGCCTGTTTAGTCTAATAGAAGGAATCGTATACTCCAAGCTGCTACAGTCTAGTCTAATTTCAATTCCTTTTCAGGTTATAATATAATTTTTTTAAAGAGGAAATCCATTAATTGTTAAATGCAATGACAGTACTTTTTTTCAAAGATTTTTAAAGCCACAAAAAAGGCAGTTGGATTTCTAAATATTGTTCTGATTGAAGTTGGCTTTTAGATTGCTTCATGTGAAACTGGAGGTCTGACTTGTTTGTATTATTGGAGTTCATAGGTGTCTTTAAAAAAAGAAAACACTTTTAACAATAGTGCAAATTGGCTTTTATGTAAAATGGTTCCTTCATTAATGTAGCCCAACCAGTTGTGTTAAGGCTAAAATAATCAAAGACGCAATTAGGATACCTTAAATAAAGCAGGTCTGTTCTCAATTTAAAGGCAATATTAGCAGTTTGATTTCTGCTTTTATAGGTAGTACAAATTGCATTTCATTAGGAAAACCTTGATTAATATTCCCTTGTCTCCTTTACTGCATTAGTATACTATAGCTAGGAGTGAAATTGGCTTTTGTCCTAAGATTTGAACAAAGCGCATTAATAAGAAGGGAAGGTACTGTAGTCCCTTCTGTGAAATCCTGTAAGTCATGTCTGAGACTCTCATTATGGCACTGAGTACTGAAATTGAAAATCATTTTTCATTACACGGATTAGTATTTTTAGTAAATTGATCTGCCATATTTTAATTAAAAAATGTTCATTCTTGCTGCTTCAGAGCACACCTCTCACTGATTTGACTTTAAGTCGTCATTTTACCGCAGGTCTCTCTCTCTCAGCCACCAAACCACAGGAACCGTTACTCAGGGATGGCCCTACCTCTGTCAGTCTTAGTCAGTACCTAAAGTATGAAAGTGGGTCCATCACACGAATAATTACTTATTTCATGCTGAAAGGAAAAAAAGAGACACAACGATTTGCCTGTAGAGCCTTCTTCAGGTCAGATCAGTCTTCTTCGGGAGCCTGAAGAAGGCTCCACAGCCAAAACATTGTGTCTCTTTTATTTCCTTTCAGCATTGAATAATCCTCTATTCCTTTCAGCATGGAACACAACCTCCACCAAAATCTCCTTTGCAGCCTACACATGCTGACACAGCTATCTACTTAAACTTAAATAATTACTTAATCTGGAATACTGCAGTAATTACTTTTTAAAAAGAATATGGGTATTTACAGCATTTCTGGAACTGAAAACATTCAATCATGAGAATTAAATAGGTACGGAAAGAAAGGAGAGTCGTGGATATATGCTTAATTATAATTAATCATGTGTTGCTGTTATTTACCCTTAAAACCAAAGGGAAGTAACTGTTTGCTACGAACAGAATGAAGGAGGCATATACAGTAATTCTACCATAGAGAAGATTACGTGAGGATTTGTGGGGGCTGTTCCTAGAGATATTGCAAATGAGACAACATGACCTCTTGGCTTCATGTCTGTGGGGAATCCAGCTCTTGCTCAGATATTTGCCATGCATTTTTTTTATTTCAGAGATACATCTCCCTAAATCCACATCTTTTAAATGACAGTTCAGTAAAAGTGCATAGAAAAATTGGTGTTCCGGATTGCCGTACTAAAATTCCAAACGGGAGATGAGTTTTTCGCTTATCATTGTATGTATTGTTTCTGTAGTTGTGACATAGCAAATAAGGCTATACTCATGTAATGGGAAAAATCACTTTCTAGCAAGTCAAGACATGTATTTACTTTTTTTTCAAATTCACTGAACCTTCAAACATGGGATTTGACCCCAGTCCTCTGCACACAGCTGAAACACATGGCAGTCCTTCATCATTTTAAACCTCAGCCATATTCCAAATGTAACATTATTAGAACCCTGCAAGAAAGCAGGTATCTTTTTTTCTCCACATTTGAAGTTTTTTGACATTTTAGCAGATGACAGAACAGATTATTAGTTTATTAATATGCTTTAATCTCTTAAGGGCATATAAATACAATTGAAACAGCAACAATTACTATTAGAAATTCTAATTAAGAAAGTATCTTTTAGTTGTTATAGGTACATACTGTATGTTTAGTGCAGGTGGGCACAATACATTGTGTTTTGGTTAAGAACACAGTATAAACATCTTTACTGAATGAAAAGCATTGATGGGTAAAGGCGTGGCTTTTTTTAAAAATCCACTGAACCTTTTCAATTGGTCTTACACCTTGTATACTAATGTATAGTATAAATTAATATAAAATTCATCATGATTGGTTTTGTGCTTCTACATTTCTTACATGACCTACTGCATATCTGAAAATTCATGCAGCTGGTAAGTTCAAAGGTTGGTTAGGATCACAGCTCATTGCCTTCACATTTCATTAAATCCCTCCCCAGCTCTTTGCTATGACTTCTCAGGGGTTTCAACAACAAAAGCCCTTCCCTCATACTTAGAAAACGAGCTGTATTATGAGGGAGGTTTAATGACATACTGGAATCTCATAACTGACCGTGAGAAAGCAGCACTGGGCCCTGGTGTGGTGATGAGAAAATCATTCCACATGTTATTGGCAAAAAAACCACAAGAACAGAATTTGGCCTGACCTCCACCTCCACTGAAACTCCTCAACTCACAGCTGGGCTCATCACAGCCTCTGCAGTAGACACACCTCAGTCATGTCACCATCTCGGACATTTTCCAGCTCCCTTTGACTACATCTTCTTTCAAAAAAATTGAAACCATAAAAATGTACAGGATAAACTAACTGCTATGACTTAAGTAAAAACCCATATACCATAAAGTAGGCTTGTAATATAAGTGCTTTGCATGAACTGCCATTTCCAAATAAACATGGAGGAGACTTCAGTGCGGAATGTGAAAATAAAAAGCTGTTTGCTCTTTTGTGCCTGTGTTTCCCCAAGGCTGAAGAAAGTAAGCTTGGCTGTTGTGCCTGGAAGGCAGTCAGGAAATGTCTAAACCCACGTTGAAATTTGTAAGAATTTGTATTTGTGGGAACAAAAGAAGGGCATGTGTTTTTAAGGTGGATCAGACTTGACAGATGTAGGCTGACTCTTTCCTTCCTCAGAAACCCAGCCTCCAGACATGGGATCTAATTCCAATGTGGCAGTCCTTCATCATTTTACACCTCAGCTCTAATTCTTAGAACACTGCAAGTAAGCAGGTATCATTTTTTTCTCCACATTTAAAGTTGTATTATTTACATTTTAGTGGATGGATGATTGGATGTGGATTCTTCATTATGATTATTGATAGGCATCTGTATTTACTGTAGTTGTCAACCCAGTCCTTTTTTGCCACCGGGAAAGCGAAATAGCTGCCAGGCAAGCAGTGAGCCATCACACGACAACACCTATTTCCATTTTCTTCTATCACGTCTGAACACCTGTTTGCCTCTTTCTCGAAACATTCCAAATAATTGTGGTATGGGAGAAACATCTCTATGTGTTATTATTCGAAAAGAAAATGTTTAAACTAGTTGTTCTAAATGGATATATTAGATATATTAATGGGCCATTCCTAGTGAGGACATTAAGCTAGCGTCTATAGGAATGGACTATAGCATAAATACGAAAACAGACAGAAAAATAAAACAAACAGGAAGAAGGACAGACATCATCATCCTCATCTTCATCAATAACTTGAGGTGAGATAGAGCTCCTTGAAATCTGTCTTGAAACTAGATTCTTTCCAGCTAGACTGCATGCTGAAAGAATACAGGAGTCTGAGCTTTGTTATACAAGATACTGTAGCTTGCTGTTTTGTTTATTTGGAAATCTTGATTTCCTTTATACACAGGGTAAAAACATCTCTTATTATAGTAATGTCTTTATCTAAAGTAGGGAAATTAGTCCCCATTCATTTATAATCATTTTTTTTCAGAGGCAGATTTAGTTCATAGTATGAAGTATCCATTGTTTAGAACTTTAGAAGGCAGAGCTCTAATACTTACTTTGCTGTAAACATCTGCAAACAGTAATGAAACTTTTGTGTTGTAAAAATATTTGTTCTGTTTGGCCTTTTTATTGCTCAAATAAATACATTTATTTAAGTTGCCCCAGAGAATAAAAGACACGTGCCACACTCAATAATACCTAAATTTAATTAATTTAAGGGATTTTAATACCATACATTTCTGAAAATCTGTTTAGAAAGAAAGGATTTGTAACAGTCAGACAATGTTTACAGGCCTCTAAGATCACTTAGTAAGATCCCTGTTT